ACCCCGCGGATCTTTTGGAGCGGCGGTTAAAGAAACAGTGCGCGCCCCCCCCCCCCCCTCCTGCTCTGTTCCCCCTGTTTCATCGGGACTCCAAAGGAGAGGAGGGTCTCACCAAAGGCTGGGGGGGGGAAGGGACCCTCCCTTTGATGCTGCGCGGCCACCGGTCCTCTCCACCCACACCCACCCCCCCAGCCCCATTTGTTTTCTTAGCAACCGCTGGATTCTCTGTTCCTACATTATTACAATTCCACCTGGATTCTCTATTCTGACATTATTTCAATTCTTTTCCCCACACTGGATTCTCTCTTCTGACATTTTTTCAATTCTTTCCCCCCCTGGATTCTCTCTTCTGACATTATTCCAATCCCCCTGGCTGGCTTTTCCCTCCGGATCCCTTTAGAAGGTTTTTTTTTTGGAGAGGGGGGGTTCCCCCTTATGAAAACTTTACTCCAAAAATGCCCAATAAAGGTGTTTATGAAAGTTTTACTTCTATAAGAAGGGGAGGCGGGGGTCCTTTGCAGGGGGATTAGCGCCTATTAATATTTATGAGAGGGAGCCGCCTATTATAGCCCCGGAATGCCCCCCCCAGAGGTGCGAGGGCGCGCCGTCGTTTCCAGAGGGGTGTGTAGGCGTGCGGGGAGTGGGGGGGGGCACGAGAGAGGAGGCGGGCGTCGGAGCGCGCAGGTGGATGCCAGAAATGCGCCTGCAGATCCGTCCCGGACCTCTCCGGAGGGGACAGACGTCTCTCAGACCCGTCGAGTGACAGTCCCGGATCCAAAGCGTCGGGAGTCCCGGGGGCGCCGTGTGAACGGACAGCCAGGTCAATCCGGATCCTTAACGAATCCGGATTTCAGCTTTCCTCCTAACGAATCCGGATTGCTGAGAAAGGTCGGGAGTTCGAATTCCGCGGAAGGCGGCCCTCCGAGGGAAGGAGTTTGGCCGAGGGGAGCGATCGGGAAGAGAGGGGCTTGCCGCGGACCGGGACTCGCTCCGCTGCCGGAGTCTCGACGCCAGGGCTCCATCGGAACCGACGCCGGAGTCCTGGACCTCTGGGCCGGTGAGGAATGGAACAAGGGGGCGTGCGAGTGCGTGTCTCTCTCTCTGTGTCGGGGGTTCCCAGCCGGCGAGGGCTAGTAGGCCTACTCTAGAGGAAGTCGGGTGTGTCGAGCAGTTAAAGGGATTCAGCGGGTCTGGAAGGGGGTGATAAGGAAGCGGAACTGATAAAACAATCGCGTTGCATTTGTGGGCACGTGTCTGAGGGAAATTCTTTTCTGCAAAAAGCCTGCCCAACTCAGCCCGGTGCAGTTGTCTTTGGGTACACCCCACCCCAGTGAACTTGCATCGCCTCGTATAAATGAACAGGCATAGGACTGGGCGGAAAGGCATAGGCACCAGGAATGGCCAAGGGATTTGCCATTTTGCCAAGAGGGAAGGAGCACAGACTCCAGCGCAGACAGACACCGAATAGCATTACTTGTAAGGCTACTTACAAGGAAGTGCGCTGGAACCCGGCGGCATTCTTTCGCAGTGGGAGGATGGATAGGCGGACAGACGGAGATGGGGGGAGTGAATATTTGCGCCCGCGGATGCTGCTATTTGGCCACCCTGGTTAGCTTCCCGCATGTATACTGTTAACAAAGGTAACGGGGGAGTTGCGGCAATCCTCGTGCTATAATCCAGGCGATAGGACAGATTCTCTCCCCTTCGTTTTCCTTTGCCTGGAGCTAGAAAGAGGAAAGGAGAAGAAAGGGAAAACAAGGGGAGGGACTGAAGGAAGAGGGTCTTCCCCCAAAATGCTATGTCTGGATTCCCCCCCCCCAAAAAAAAACCCCAACCACCACCGCCGTCCCTGGCGCGGGGTCCCAGAGTGTCAGCCGCTCTTTGCACGGGGGATCGGGGCGTCCTCGAACCCCCTTGGCTCTGGGCCGGTTTCCGAGCTCCTGGCTTTCCTGGAGGTGGGTCTGATGAGCCGAAGCGCGGCCAGATAAGCGGCGCGGTGGAGGTCGAGCCGGGCTGGCGAGTCTCGGGCAGGCTGCTGGGGGGGAAGGCGCGCCTGGCTGGCTTCGAAGGGGCGGCCGACGGAGTGAACTCTCTCTTGTCTCTCTCGCCTCTTCCTCCTCCTCCTCCTCCTCCGGCGTCCCCGGCTCCCCAGGCGCGTCTTGGCGCACAAACAGAGCGACCTCGCTGGCCGGGCTGAGCTGGCTTCCCTCGCCCGGGTTGGCCCTGCAGTTGCGCCTTTCGGTCCGTCCCCCCCCCCTGCGTTCCTCTCCCCGCGGCTAAAGGAGGCGTCTTCTTCTTCTTCTTCTTGGGGGGAGAGACGGGAGGAAAAAACCCACCTCCCCCCTCTGACCCTGGCGGGGAGGGAGATCCTCCCGAAAGGCACCCCGGATTGGCACCACCGGCTTGGATCCAGCTGGGCTCGCCGCAAGAAGACGGGCGAGGAGGAAGGAAGGAAGGAAAGAAAGAAAGAGAGA